TATAAATAAAAACATAAAAAATATAAATATAAACATAAAAAAATATAAATATGAACAAAACAATATACCAAAAACAAAATATATAACCAAAAACAAAAAATATAAACAACAAACTAAAAAATGAAAAACATAAACAAAAACAAAAAATCAAAAATGCAAAGAAAAAACCAAAAACAAAAAACTAACAAAACTTAAAAAAAGAAGAACATCAAAATTTTAAAGAAAATTTATAAAAAAAAAAGGGAACTTATAATTTTTTTTACATACAAAAATATAATTCAAAAAAAAAAAAAATACATAGGAACATAAAATTAAAAATTAAAACCAGATACAATTTTTTTTAAAAAAAAAAAAAATAGAACATAAAATTAAAACAAATAAAAAAACAAAATTTAAAAAAAAAAAGATAAAAAAAAAAGGGAACATACAATTTAAAAAAAAAGAAAAACAAATTTTTAAAAAAAAAAAAAAAAAATTCGAAAATAAAATTTAAAATTAAAAAAAAACAAAAAAAAATTTAAAAAAAAAAAAAGGAAGGAGGCGCCTAGGCAAGACGCCCGTACGGTGGTGGCGGCGCCTAGCCCAGACGCTAATACCACGGCCGTGGCGCCTAGCCTCTGCGCCGCCGCCGTGGTAGTGGCGTCTGGGCTAGGCGCCGCCACCACCGTACGGGCGTCTTGCCTAGGCGCTTCCTCCGTGGTGGTGGCGTCTCGCCTTGGCGCCCCACCGTCGCCGGAGGTTTTTTTTTTTTAAAAAAAATTACAAAAATTAAAAAAATTACCTTCTGGCCGGCAAACCGCCTTCCGCCCACCGCCGGTGCCGCCACTTCCTTGCCGGGCCGCCTCGACATAGCTCTGGAAATAATTTAGAGAGAGAAAGTGGAAGTAGAGAGTAGAGAGAGAAATTGTGTGTTTTTTAGTATGAGGGCAAAAGTGTCATTTCACTCTTATTTTGTGGGCTTTATGTAGGAATTTGCGGGCGATGTTTAACAGTTCACTTCTCTTTCTCTCTCTCTCTCTCTCTCTCCCTCTCTCTTTAATTCATTTTCAAATAAATGAACATTTTGCAGACTGTGTTGGTTTTTGACATTAAGCAAAGAAGAATGTCAAGGTTTTCACTAGATGAGCGCTTACAGAATTGGCTGATAACAATGTCTGTTCGAAACGACAACATAAGGATTGATAAGGTATAAAATAAATACTTTGTTTTAAAGATATATACATGTTATAGTTTATACCCTAGTTAATATTACTAAGTTGTACCTTGCTTTGCAGTTCTGTACTCATCTATGGTCCAACCAACAATTTAGGTCTCTAAATGAAGTTGATGACTTCATTCACTTTGGCTACCTCCCAAAGAAGCCTGAGATGGAGCCAAAACCAGCTGATAATGTAAGCTTATCTTAGTATGATTATTTCTATAATTAAGTTTTTACATGTTTTTTTTTAAATTTTTTATATGATTGGTATTATTCACATTTTTTTGTACTATTTTCTTATGTAGTCTGCGGAAGCGAGCACTTCAAGGGAGAAACGCTCAACTAGAAAGAAGCTGAACTGGGAGTTTAGGTTTTCAGGAAAAATCTCTAATGGTGAAAATGTTCCCTATGATATCCATTTTCTAGAACCTAGTTCCAACCAAGATCCAAGCAGTATAAGTGCTTTTTTTTGTAAAATATATATCAGTGTTGTAGTACTTTATAGTCTTAATAATTTCTACAATGCAAATACGAGGTTAAAAATTTCTAGTCTTATATAATATCTCGGAGTATATATATTAAAATTTCTATATTGTTTTTTTTAAGTCGCGAGGCTTTAGGGTAAATGAAGAAATATTTTTTCTCAAGTGGAGGAAAGACAAATGATCTTGAAAAACACCGCCGTAAGAGAAGGAAGACGATAGACCTCACTCTTAAGGAAAGGGTGGAGACATTTCTATCTAAAGCATATCAGAATCTCCTCAATAAGGGGAACAACAATAAGGACCAAGACGACAAAGGAAAATGCAACAAGGATAAAGGTAAGAGGAAAATGTATGAAGATTAAAGATGTCTTGAGAAGAACACCATATATCCTTCATAAACTCAAACTGGTTAAACTTATATAATAATAAGAATTTGTGATCTCCTTTTGAAGGAGGGAATTTTAAAGGTTTAATTTGATGTATTTTGATGAGACTAATTTATTGTTGTTTTGAACTACTTTCCTTGAAGTTTGATTATTTTTACTAATTAAAACTTATTTCATCCATGATAAATAGAAGGCCAAAAACATCACAAGTTTGGTAATATTTGAACATGATAATACATAATTCATGATCTAGTTTTCCAATAATTTAATACCAAACAGTTATCACAATATATTAAAAAAATCTTTCTTTCTATGGTATAAAACCATGTTTGTTTTTTTTAATCATGTGTCATTTCATGTAATATGTTATTGGTAATAAATCAACATAGGCATTGTTATATTTAGTCTTAATTGCATGAAATCAGATTAATCTTTCTTAATAAGAAATCAACCATATTATATCTTTATAAAATCTAAATATTGTGTGGAAATCATCTAAAATGATCACAACATCCACGAGGATCATATTTTGAGTAATCATATATCACTAATAAAATGAGGATTCAATAATTGCATGTGAACTTCACATTATTGTAATAAGTGTTTTTTTTTTATTTATTTTTTATTTTTTATTTTTTTAAAGTAAGAATAAAAGCACTCTTAAAACAAAAGGAATAACGTACAAAAGTTTTTTTTTTTTTTTTTTATAAATTAATTAACTTGATATATGTATAAATTATATAGTTTAGTGAAACATTCACGATCAATAAACATCTAATGGTACAAATAACTAAACTCATTATTTAACAACACTAGTGTAATTTGCTATTTATGTAGATAACTTACAAATGGGGGTCAACTAAAATAGTTTCTGGAATTTTTTAATTAATTAAAATTTTATTAGAAGTTAAATAAATTTAAAGTGTTGTTAATGAAAAACTCTTGTCTACTATGAGTGAAGGGTGTGACATATATGTGAATATAAAATATAAGTTTGGGTGCATTTAATTTCACCAAGGTGGTATTACCATTTTATACGAGGAAGTACTAATGAAGGTTTGATATGTATTTGCAAATACATATCATTCCTTAAAATATTAAAAAGTATTGTAAGTACATGGGGGTGAGAGAAAGGAGGAGAGAGATTAGCAAGTTGGACCAATTTTTAAATGTACCACTAAAATCTTATATAATATCATTGAATATGTAGTGATATTATTTCTATAAGTAGTTGGTACCACTAAATGAATATACAGTACCATTGAGTGAATATATAGTACCACAGAATGTTCAATGACACTATTTGATCATCTAGTGATACTATTAATCACCCAGTGGTACACTTAAATCCAGCACGTGGGGGTGAGAGAAAAGGAGGAGAGAGATGGGTAAATTTCATGCGAAATGTCTCAAATGTCCCTTGATATGTATATACAAGTACCTATCAAACCTCCCTTTGGAAGGCCTCCATTTTATACTATAATTTTCTATTTGGTTACCCAATCAAATTTATTATATTTATCATTTTACCAAAATGTACTTATAGCCCAAACTTTTCTTCTATATACATCACCTTCTCCCTCGTATGTCTTTTTTATCCACCTTTTTCATTCCTCTCGTTCTTATATAACAACTCCACAACGTCTGTAAAACTTATGGCGAACTCGAATGAAAACTCGCGCGACAATTGAATTTACTCTTTATGAATTTGAAAACCTTCGATATTTGCATCTTGGTGAATTGGTGTGAAATTTTAATTCTTCTTTTCAATTACCTGATTTTGTACTCGGGTGATGTCTCGGATTGTTGATTGAGTTTTAGGATAAATTTTTAGAAAATTCTCTTTGCTAAAATCTAACTTTTTTATTTTTTTTCTTTGGTGAATTGGAAAATAAGTTATTATTTTTGGTAATCCAGTATTAATTGATTACCAAAGATAATAAGTATTGTAATTAAAATCACTAACCATGGTTAGTTTTTTTAACCAGGTGGTTAAGGAACTTCCCATTCCTCAGCCCTGATTGCACGGCGAAAGTTGCTACGTCCTACCGAAGGTCGATATCCTCAGCCGCAATGGTGCTAATCCGCGCCAGATAGTCTCCCATAGCTTAATGCCGATCAACACAACGGTTATCTTTCTCGGCGGTTGTTCGCAATGAACTTAGCCTTAAATTTCAATTTGAGGTCATCGCACCCTGTTACTGTTCCATTCCCGAGACCTTTGGAGAACCATGTTTGAGCCAACCATGTTAGGGTCGTTGGGAAATACTTGCACCATGTTGCCTCGGAATACTGGAACAGGTACATATGCCGCTCGAATGGCAGACATGATCCTTCGGATCTATCGTGCCAGAGAACTTGATGTGCGAAGGTAGTTTGACCTTTGCCGCTTGCTCTTCTAAAATCCATGGGGCAAAAGGCGATCTCTTGGGAGTCATGATCGCTTTTCCTATTCCTATGCTCAGCCGAGTGTACGTTCTCGACTGTCTTTTCCATTAAGGCGAATGTTCTTGTTTTGTTCGAAGGAGGTGTTGTGAATGCGTCAGTCGGCGTGTCCCTCAGATGTGTCAACCTACTGTGGATGCTAAGCTGCCTCTCGCCTAGGGGCTTGTGAACATTCCTACGCGGTGGTTTTGGTGTAGGTTGCTCTGTTTTCGAGTTTCAGTCCCTTTCCTTTGGACATGTATAGAACCTGGGGCCCTTAGGACACATGTCACGATCTGAGCACATGGGCTCCTTTGATGAACTTTTTATGGCCTTTGGGCTGACTTGCATGCATAGGATATAACTTGAGGCTATTAAGCTTGGTGGCTCAATTGATAAGTAAGGCCCAAAATGGGAATCCGTTTTGGCACCCAAACAAATATTAATATTTTTTTTAATTGCTATTTACCAAAACTTGTTTATTTGGTATTTTATTTATTTATTAATATTTATTTATTTTTTTTGCTAGTAAGGAGAAAGGTCCTATTGGACCGAAATCTCTCACAGGTTCTTCCAACCCGAGTTAATAGACTAGGCACTTTAAAAGTAGGGGGGAAGGGTAAGGAAAATCCCCACCTTAAAGTGTCACTAATGGGGTTTAATCCGAAAACCTCTTAATTGTGAGATACAAACTTTATCACTAAATCAAGCTTAGCATACAAACTTTGTCATTAAACCAAACTTAGCTTGATACCAAAACTTATTTGTTAACTTGAGTTTTGTCCTCATAAAAAATAATTCGCAAGCGTAGTAACTCATTTTCACCCCTATTCGAAGAACATTACATTTGCAAGCAAACACGAAACCTCGAGAATAAATGGCGAAATTGCGGAAGCCATGAATTACTCCTACAACTCAAACTTCTTACGCTTGCTTTCCTACACAAAGCAGCTAACATCCCACGTTAATCAAGGTCGCCATAACCAAGCACTCTCTCTCTTCCACCACATTCACTCTGCACTGGCTCTTCCTCTTGACCCTTATGTCTTCCCGCTCACTCTCAAATCCTGCTCAGCCCTCCATTGCCCACTTCTTGGGACCTCCATTCATGCCCACATAACCAAATCTTCTCTACTATCAAACCCATTTGTAGCTTCTGCTCTTGTTGATTTTTATGGGAAATGTGTTTCCTTGGTTTCTGCACGCCAACTGTTCGACGAAATTTCCCTGAGAAATGATGTTGTATGGAATGTAATGATTTCACTTTATGCACATTCTAATAATGTTTCTCTGGCTTTAGGGTTGTTTGAATCTATGGATGTTGCTCCTAATATTTCGACGTTTAATTCGATTATCGATGGTTTGTCGAGGTTAGATGATGGGTGTTACATGGCTCTTGCGTTTTACAGAAGAATGCAGGATTTTGGGTTGAGGGCGAATTTTATTACTGCATTGGCTTTGCTTTCTGCTTGTGCTGGTGGTGGGGCTTTAAAGTTGATTAGAGAGATTCATGGGCATAGTTTGCGGAACAATATTGATCCGAATCCACAGCTTAGGAGTTGTCTTGTTGAAGCGTACGGGCGATGTGGATGTGCTGATTATGCTTATTGCATATTCTGTAGTATGAAGGAGAGAGAGCGAGACGTAGTGGCATGGAGTAGCTTGATCTCAGCTTATGCATTGCACGGCGAGGCAAGAAAAGCGTTGGACATCTTTCATGAAATGGAAGACGCGAAAGTGAAGCCTGATGGGATTACTTTGTTGGGCGTACTGAAAGCTTGTAGTCATGCAGGATTGGCTGATGAAGCAAAGGGTTACATTTCAAGGATGCAAGAGGTTCATGGTGTGGAAATAACCAGTGATCATTACTCTTGTTTGGTGGATGTACTAAGTAGGGCAGGGAAATTATATGAAGCTTACGACGTCTTGACCAAAATGCCAGTTAAGGCAACTGCAAAAGCTTGGGGTGCGCTGTTAGGAGCTTGCAGAACTTATGGAGAGGTGGACCTTGCAGAGGTTGCTGGAAGAGCATTGTTTGGGATAGAACCTAATAATGCTGCTAATTATGTGCTGTTAGCTAGAATTTATGCAAGCGCAGGAAGATATGAAGAAGCTAATAACTTGAGAATTGAAATGAAAGAAAGACGAGTGAAGATAGCACCAGGTAGCAGTTGGGTGTAGTTGGACAGGAACTATTCCGTCCCTTAAGTTAAGCAGGATACAAAATGGAAACAATGGAAATTCAATGGATTCCCAAGTTGCCTGCAACTGGTAGTGTCTATTGTGATTCTACTATAATGCTTCCAATCCTGTGTACTAAAATTGGTCTGTCCTTGAGAATGAGAGAATATTTTAACAAGAATTGAGCAGCAAGGCCAGCAATCCAGACCTCAGACGTATATCATGGTATATGCCGGCTTATCTTTCCTGAATTTGATCCGTTGAACAGAAACATTTTCGGGTCTGATAATACGAAAATATATAGTGAATATTCACTAGGACCAAAATTGCTGTTGGACACCTCTTTGTTTTGCTTTTCACATCACTATTGTCATTGCTCGTGCACTAATCCTGTTGGTTTTTTGTATAGACTTCATTTTGTAGATTAATGGATATTATTGGTGGAAGCGATAAGAAAATGAGCAAAATAAGCGTGAACACAAAAGGAAAGATAAGAAAATGGTTGTATGATGTGTATCCTGGTGAAGTGATAAATAGAGATTTTGGATTGATAAATTACTCCTCTCAATCTTCTTTGCTTAAGTTTAATTATTATCTCAAAACTAATTAAAATAAAGTTATTATAAAGCCATAAGGGGTTTATTTCTCACCTATCAATTTATCATGGCAAAGTTATTAATAAACCTTTTTTTTTTTTTTTTTTGTGTATGTAAATGAGACGATATTTACAGATTATAAATAGGAAGAGCCGAAGAGGGATTTGAACTTGTGAATTACCACATACGGGTCTTCAATCTTTGCTACTAGGCCAAGACCTCATTGATAACTGTACACATATTCTATTAATCTGATTTTTACTCATCTGAACTTATATGAACTTATTAGATTTTATTAAAATTTATTTTATTTTAGTTTGTAATTTGAAATTTGATAATTCCTTATTGGAACTTATTTTGTTTGAACTTATAAAGCCTAAAATAAGTGAAAATAGCATAAATAGAATAGTGTGTGAGTGAAATTAAAAAGGTATCTCAACCATTAGATCAATATGGAACTCAACGATGGATTAATCACATCCTTGAATGTAACATATCGAAACATTAATGAAAGATCCTACCTATGTCAACATAACATAACTTTTTCGTGACTAATCTGTTACATGATGGGATGATCCATTTGAGCACAAGATATCTCACTCAATACATGATCTTCCAAGTCCCAGCCCGTGCTCAACTGTTGTTTCACCTCTAACTTGGCAAACCAGACATCTCTTTAACTTTCCATTAGAGGAATAAAACCCCCGATTAAAAAGTAAAAACACCCTTAATTTAATGTGTGTTTAACAACTACTGAACCGCACTTGATTCAGACTGACGACGCCCCGATTGCCAAGAACCATCAACAATCATCATCCATGGTTGACACATGACCTCTCAACTTCCCTCCTTTCTTTCTCTATTCTTCACAATTCTCAATCGTCGTTTGTTGCTTCGCCTTTTCCTGACTTTGACAACTTCCCCTTTCTCTCTCCTCCCTTGTCGTTACTCCATTCCCATCACCCAGTTTCCGCCATTGCAGCACCTTCAGCTTTCAGGTAACATCTCAATTCAATACACAGATCAGAATCATTCACTTTTCACTAATTATTTCATGGGTTTTTGTTAAATTACAAATTACTCGATTCAACAGCTGAAAATAACGAAATCCCAGAAAAATTATTGAATACCCAGATCATAATTTGTAAAATTTCCCCTTTTTTGGGGATTAATTGTTGGATTTAATGGAAATTTGCTAGTTTATATGATGTTAGGTGCCGTCCAATTAGGTGTATTGGCGGCTTGTATAGTAGTTCTTGTTCCAATGGCGTTAGCTGGGTGGCATTTGAGCCGCAATAAAGTGTTGTTCTTTAGTGGTGCTCTTTTCATTTCACTTGCTGTTGCTGTTCATCTTTCGCCGTACTTTCCTTCTCTTACCGACTTTTTTCCTGATGTTTCATCATCATCTTCTTCTTCGACCTTAGTTGTTCTTGAGAATCGTGAATCTTGTATCTCTTTTCTTCATCGGATCCAGTGGAAAAATCATCCTAGAAATATGAATTTTTCTTCTAGTTGGAAATGGATGTTGTCAGATGAGAATGTGTTAGCTTGTGATTTTCAGAAGTTGGGTAGGAATGATGTTGGGGATCTGCTTAATGGGTCTTGGGTAATGGTTGCTGGGGATTCGCAAGCGCGGTTATTCGTGCTTTCGTTGTTGGATTTGGTGTTGGTTGAGGAAGAAATGGTGGCGGTTCGAGGGGAGTTGTTTAAGAGGCATAGTGATTATCATTTGGTGATTGATAGAGTAGGGTTGAAGTTGGATTTTGTATGGGCTCCTTATGTTAATAATTTGACTCACTTGGCATTGGAGTTGAATAGGAATCATAGCTGCCCTGATGTTCTGGTCATGGGTTCTGGTCTTTGGCATATGCTTCATGTGAATAACGCGACTCATTATGATGCTTCGTTGCAGCTTCTGAGTCGTTCTGTGATGCCATTGTTGGTTGGTAAATCTCAGCCTCATTTGTTTTGGTTGGGGATGCCAACATTGATACATTCGATGCTGAATACTGAAGAGAAGAGAGAGAGAATGACTAGCGCAACACAATTTGCTTACGGTTTGGGAGTTCGTGGTGCTAAGCTTTTACGGCCTGGTGGCCCATTTGTGTTGTTGGATATTCAGTCTTTGAGTGAAAATTGTGGGGAAAGATGTACAGAGGATGGAATGCATTATGATGGAGTTGTATATGAAGCCGCAGTTCATATCATGCTTAATGCTCTACTTATCCAGTCTCAACAAAAATTGTAGTGATGGTTTTGTTATTTAGCTGGCCCTTCTCTGACATTGATTACCGATAGCATCTTTGATGGAGCGTAAGCTTTTGGTCCTTTGTAAGAGATTGCTTTATCCCTGTATCTTTGATGTGTCTTGGGTGATTCCTGATGTATACTTCTCTACGTTTTGAATTAACTTTTAGCATGAGTTTTCTCGTAGTGGAGAGATCAATTGCTTGATTTTTCTTATAGCTTAGCTAGTCAAACATGTATTAGTATGGTATACTTACAAAACTTGTATGCTATAGGCAAAGGGGGAACCCTTAATGTTTTTCATTCATTCTAGTTGTACAAGTATGTGGTTGCACTGATGGAATAACAATCAAGAGATTTTTTTTTAACCTTTTTCACTTCTTGGAGATCTCCCTGTTCTGCGTTCTTTGGTTCTGTATGGCTGTCACTAGCATTGCAAGCCTGCTTGATGTTGCTATGGTAATTTAATAGTCTTGGATGATGCAACAGAAATATTTAGCTATCCGTTGAACTTGCTGGAATCTTTTGTTTGTAATTGTTGTGACTTGGAACTAAGGATGGTGTGGCATCAAGGCGATCAATCACATCAGCCATTCTGGTACGTTGTATTTCTAATTTTTGCTAAAATTTAATGGTGCCAGTTTAGTAACGGAGGTTATGCATGTCATTAAAATGTTAGAATTTCATGAAACTGTTTTTGAGTACACTGAAATTATATGATTGAATTAGAATTTTGGTAATCAAGAGCTCCATTGACTCAGAATTGTGTGACAGTGCATCCACATGATGCATCTGTAGAATGTTCTAATATTTTCCTTTAGCCAGACTACTGGAATTCAAGTGCAGAGAGAATTTTATTGTCTTTTTTTCAATTAGCATAGGATGATTAATCATTTACTTCCAATCTGAATTTCCATTATTTCCTGCACCAATCCATCCAAAAGTTAAAACAAAGTTTCAATGATCTAGAGCAAAATGTCAACGAATGAGGTCAAGACTCAAGAGTAACTCCATGACTAGTGGACTAGTAATGATAGATGAGTTGGGCTAATTCTTTAAGTTAGCAGTAAAAGTATAGCCCTTAGTATCTTTATATTGGAAGTCATGCAGTTTGTGACAGCCTAATTTTTGCTCCAATGTTACATTCATCTCCCACATTTATGACAAGTGAAGATATAATTAATTCTCAAACCTTCAATCAAAAATTGAATCTCTCCTTACTTTATGCATTTGGTCCTGTCCTAAATATGGTTAATAAGGGCAAATACATATACAACAGATGGTGAAGGACACCTTCCTTCATGAATGAAATCTACAAGGGTTAGGAGGAGGAGCATTGCCTTGGAGGAGAGTGGAATTTTTTTACTGTGTGTCTAATTTTTTATGCATTCCTAATGTGAATTACGAAATTTTATGATTGTTTGTGGAGGACCTCCTGAGCTTGGGATATTTTGCATAGTATTTATCCTTGTATATTTATCGTAAATGTTCATCCACATACGTGAATAGCTATCTTGCCTCTTGACATATAAACAGAACATCACATATGTAGGTAGCATTCTATCATTTCAATGCATAACTATTCTTTCTCTTTTGATTAAACAGAAATGGCTATGAACATATTCCAGAAAAACAGATCTACACTCATTATGAATTATGTTATTCCTGAACTTGACTTTTTTTCAGTAAAAATAAAGGCAAATGAGACTGACATATTGGCCAATTTCTTGATCAGAGCCAAAATATTAGTGACCCTGTTTTAATGAGTTGCTGAAAAAAGAGTAAAGATACTGCCTACCTTGTTTATGGTATGGTATGGGCAGACCTTAAACTTGTTTCTGCATCTTCTAGACAACTCCTTTGTTGGTGGTTAATAAACTTTTTAGCTTTTCATGTATATGCTATTTACAATATGAAATATAGGATTTAGTTTGGAAATGATTATATATATGGTCAAGTTTCAGAACCCTCTTACTGGAAATGTTTTGTTGAAAGAGGCCTACTAATGGCATGTTGAATTGCATCTTGAGTTTCTTTAATAAAGCAGCTTTGCTTGGAAACATTACCTTGATGATTGTGCTTTTCTTAGAGACATAATTGGAGATGAGATCAATAGCAATATGATTCTGGAGACCTCTCTCCTCGGAATTGCACTTTCTTGCTATGCTGTGTTACAATGAGGATGTTGATGATAGTTTTCGATGAGGGTAATCCAACTGTGTGAAATTTTTATCTTTCTCTTGATGGTGATGATAGTTTAAAAGAGTGGGACTGTTACATCAGAGACTTTTTACCAGACATAATTGCAGGCCCTCAAGGTTGATTATGTCTTCTTTCATCTGGATATTGAAAAGCAGGAACTATCCAAGCACACTGTCATATAGTTCTTTCAGAAGTCTTCTTTTCTCTGTCAGTCTTTAAAGGTATGTTTTAAAGATCCTTTTACAGCGTGTTTGGATGAATGGATTTCATAGTAACAAAAGGTAGGGAAAGTAATGGATCCAATTTTAATTGTTTAGATCTGAATTGGCGGATAATTGGGGTATCATATTTCCCTTTCAAATATGTCTGGAGTTGGAAGGATGTGGAAGGAAAACACAAGTCCATTTCTGCTTTTGCTTTTCTCTTTTCTATTCCCCTTCCCCCTCTTTCCCTCCACCATTAACTCGAATACGTTTTCTTGTATTTTTCTTACAAATGTGATACATTTAAGTCCCGTAATTCTTTTATTCAAACAGCTTCTAAATTCACGGGTGATTCCATTATATCAGAAGTTGCTGGTTTTAGACAGCTAGCAGGTAAACTAATGTTGCAGCTGAACTCGAACCTGTCAATTTGCATAATGCAGAAATGATCAGATTTTAAGATTGTCAATACACTTAAAAGGTTTGATATGTGAATTAATTTTACCAGTATTTACTTTTTGTCTCTCCTATGTGTGTGTTTGAAGGGTGAGGAATGAGTGACTTATAAAATAAACGATGGCCTAATTTTAAATAAAAGGTTTGATATTGTTACTAGTAACGCCAAATCCTTTTGGGATTTAGTCTTTTTGTCGTTTTTGTAGAATCTACGTTCCTCAATTAATCCCTGAAGGATGATTAGTGCAGTAACTTCCATAGGGTGAAGTTATGCTAATGAAAGAGCTTGTTTATACTCAACATGAATTGACTGATGAATTTTCAGAGCTGTAATATAGAGATGAAGATGAATAATTTGATTGTAATAAAACGGTACCCAATGAAACTTTACTCCGAAATCAGTTGATCCTTTCTGCATTGAACGTGGCATTTACAGATTATGCTTCTGCTGAAGGAGTAGGATCCCATTAGGAAGTCCTTCTTCAGTCGTGCACCAGGAGATGTTCACTAGACAGGCATTTGAAACAGCCAAGGCTAACCATACGTGCATAATTTCTCGGGGATATTGAGGAGTTTGGAATCAGCACCACCACAGCTGTTCTCAATCATTTTTCAACTGAATGACTGATGCAAAAGCTCAGAATTCCTAGCATCAAAAATTACTGCAGACGAATATTTTCAATCATAGATTCTTTTGACCCTGGCAAGACAAGCCAGACTTCATTGTCGCATGTGTTTACAGGTTGCAATAAGCAGAAATTTATTTGAATAGATATACTTTTGACTCAAATACTCAATTTTTGTACAGGCCAAATTTGTAAATACTCAAATATTCATGGTAGAATTTTAAGTTTGATAAGCTCGAATAAGTTCTCGAGCCAGTGAATCCCTTCATCTCTGAAAGAAGCCAAATAGTCTCCAGAGGACTGTCAGGCTAATTACCGTTCTGTTCTGACTTCCTGTACTATTTGTCTATTTGACTCATATTTGGTATAGCAATATTTTAGAGTTAAAATACGAAACTTCAAAAGAGAGGAATTTCAATAAAACTGCTTTGACTAACTTTGATCAAGCATCGCTTCTTTCATACATTGTTTAGTACAATTACATTACCACTACCTGCAAAGAAGGGTTCAGTTCAACTGGAAGAAAACAAACAAGAGCCACAGTCAAACAGCTAAGCCAGTCTTCAGCTTGTCAACTTGTTCTAGGTACATTAGGTGTCCTACTCTGCTTTTTTTTTTTTTTTTTTTTTCCTACTCTGCTTATTATGAAGACAGTGAAAAATGAATGGAAAGGGTGCATAATATATGCGTGTGTCAAGACTGATAAACCTCAGGAAGCTGAAGCCCTACACTGGCAGCTGATTTTCCGAGTATCCTTTTCATCTCATCTGATCTGTCCACAGCAATGTTGTAGGAGAATAGGAGCTCCTAAAAGAAAAATGAGAAGATCATGATAAAATTAGAAGATCAGTGCACCAATTGGTGTACTAGTAATTTTGTAGCAAATAAGCAAAAGGAAAGAAAAAGGCAATAATTTATCAAGTATGGAAGATGTGTAAAGGCACATAAGCAGCCATAGGTCCTAGAACAATAGAGCTGAACATATTCACCAATATTAATACAGTAAGATTTCAGATGAGATGCATAACTGATATCCACAAACTTCGTAGATACTGTTCTTCGATCACTCATCTAACATCAAATCAATCTGTAGATAGTATCACTTCCTTTCCCCCATACCATAGCAACATTGAATCAGGACAACAGTTCATTTATACATACTTCCACATTAACTATGCATTATTCAGAAAGAACAATGTACTGAGCTCCCAAGTCATTTTTTCCCTGGATCAGGCTTCATTTGTCTAGCTGGCCAAATAGAATTTTAAACATATATAGATAGCTTATAAATAGCATCAGAAAATGAAATGTGAAAGGTCTACTCAAGTTTTATGCAGGTTATCTGATATAAAAACCAACCCTCTAGCTGAGATTTATAGGACCCCAGAGAAAAGAAAATATCCCATAATAAAGAGAGGAGAAAAGAATATCCACAGGTATAAAGATATACTATACACAAACACAGAAGAAACAAGTGATGGCTTCTTCTATGAACGTCTAATTGTTTATAAATGAAATTCGACTTCACATAATGCAAGGCTCTAGAATTGTATACCTTGTGATGATGGACACTATTAAGCAAGAAAGTATAATCATTTGCCAACTTCAATTTATTCTGTATAGATGATGGATCAGACAGTTGATGGTTCTTCTTAAACTCTTCCATTATATAATCACTAAAGTGCCTTTTGTAGTCTTCCTGTCCAATGTGCTTCTTCACAGATTTGAGAAGTTGCCTACAAACTTTCACAGCATGAAGTCCTGATCCCATTTCCTTTTCTTTCCTTGTTGGTGTTAATTATCTTCTTGCTCCCCTCCTTTCTCGGCTTCTCACTCAATTGTACCGAATGAACAAGCCTGTTTTAGAAAGGCAGCTACCACTGTCAAAAGAGCAGAATTTTTTCCTGAAGAAGTTATCATTAACACGACAGGAATAAGATGAGTTTGATTATCAGTAGATGTAAATGATAATCGGGAGAGGAGTTCCATCTGGTCATATCCGCTTCTATAAAGCATCTTAATCCCTAAATACAATGTCCATCTCTCTCAAAAGAAGTTGATAGCAAATTTACAATGCAGCTATTCTTTATCATAAATTCATGATACTTAGAATGTATCAAGATCAAACACTAATATGGGTATTGTTTGTTTAAAATGCTCAAGTTTTTACTTAATTCCTTACATTCTGCACTCATTCTTAAGAAGAAGATATAAATGATTCATCAAACATGACACGACCTACAAAACATCACTTACAAACATATCCTGATTAATCACATTGACCCAATCCCTCGAGATTAAGCATTCGCCATCATTTCACCAATATTCCATTTCTAAGTTCACATTTTCATAGTATGATCCTAACATTAAAGGGTTAGGAACCAAATTCGACTCGGTTATCAAATAAGGCTCAAAAAATCACATAAAGTTCTTCTTGCTTAATAGTATCAATGTGAATCGCTGGAATTGTTCATAACTTGAGTAATTATAATCAATAGTACAAGAACCCTAAATTGACTAATTAATTAACAGTTATAATGTAACAATTACTAAGCCATTGATGTAACACCCCAATAATTCTCTCTTTAAAACCTGTAATAACCTGTAAATACTTTTAATAACCTGTAAGAGAATTACTGACGTGCTACCGCCACGTGTTCAAATGTTAAGGCTAATTTCAGAAATCAGCAGCGAAAAACTAACTTAGTTTTGAAAAAAAAAATATAAGTTTCAAAACTAACAATCAAAACCAAATTTAGTCTTACAATTTGAAACCATAACGACCCTTATTCAAAACCCAGTAAAATAGGAAGTAAATAGAATTAGAGTCAAAATAAAATCAACTTATGAAATGAAATAAGCTAAGAGATTAACCGACGCTCCACTCAAAATCCCATCACCTTGATGCAAGTTCAGGTGATTAAATCTGCTCCCCAATATTACAAGTGTAAGAATTGGATCATTACAGGGTCATTGAAGGGCGAAGGCCATGATCAAGAAGAAACATACAAAAGCACGCAATCAGCAAGAGTACATACAAGCTACGAAATATAGTAAAGAGCCTAGCATGTTACTAGAAATCATTCTGCACACACACGCAATACAATCATTTACTCAAACACATGACTCAATTGTTGACATTACTAAGATTTCTCTAAATAACATTGATTATTTCATTAATTGATTGGATTAAGTAATAGACCGGGTTGTCCCCCTATGCCCCATTTCGGAACATTAATAAAGAAAACCCTATGCCCCATTTCGGAACATTAATAAACATCCAATGGCAGACGGGCCCGACTCTGTGGCCATAGCTAGTATGAGATCTCATCTAACTCATTATAATTTTAAAAGTATTTGAAAACAAGAGACGCGTAGATCAGACGGCCTCTGAAAACACAACTAATACTATAAATTCATAGTTTTATTGCTCATCCTTCTTACACTTTACGTGATTTACCGGTTTAAACTTGGTGATGACTCTCATGCAAAATAATACAATCGATCAAACATCAACTATTCAAGCAATTCAAATTTCCAATTCAATTCTTGATTTATTAGTGACAAACAATACTTATTATTGATTCCTTTAACTACCTCGGTGTATAAACACCTTAAGTGCATAAGGCACCTTAAATCCTCAACCTAGTCTTATAAGACTTTAATTCTCCCTTTACTCATTTCAATCCAATATTAGTGAACAAGTAATAGATTAATTCATTCCATACATCCTTGTATCTTTGCCACTAGGCTCATTTTGCAAATTATTGCATAAATAATTTTTTTTATAAGGAAATCAATACGAATACATAAATCAAACCAATAATCACATTTATCATCAATCAAGCTCATTACCAAACGATTTCAACCAATCCACAAGTTCCCTAGCATGATTCTAAGTTTTTCCAAGTCCTTAAACATGCTCCAAGAGTCAAGGTTTTTCGTATTCTTGTACGTATCTTGAGTACACAAATTGGTTGGCCACTTTAAGACTAGAAGTCACCTTCTACGAAGTCCTCTCCTAAACAAAGCAACAATAGTTCAATTAATACCCAAGCAATATAATTTACAGCAATACCAAACTACTTTAAAACCCCTTAAACCATTGAAATAATGCCTTTAAATTGCTCACAATAGTCAAAGTTAATAATTCAAAGTTCAACTACAAGTTTGTATGTTAAAATCATGAAAATATAGCCTATAGCATAAAATTCCAGCAACTTTAAAGTAGGATTATAATCTGATAATTTAATTTAAAATTATGAAACAACCTCATAAACATTTCCACTTAAAATAATCATTATATAGTACGTTAGTATGTTAAAAACCAAAAAATTCATCATAAAACCATGATTTAAAACCTTTGAAGTCAAGATTAAAAATCTGGAATTTTAGTTTAATAGTAGAATGTAGGAATACAACAATCTAAACTTGGAATATACAATTAAAATTCAATTAGATTCATAAACACTCAATTAAACCTTCAAATTTCACAACTTAAACCCTAAAAAATACATAATTCAAACCTGAAATTTAATTTATAATCAAGATAATTGAATTTAAACATAATTTACACATACTATAATTAGGTAACTTAATCATCACGTTTTAAACCCAAAAATCATGAAAAATCAACATTTAAACCCTCAATTTTTGAATAAACCGAATCTGAAATTTTATTCCATAAATCAAATAAAGTATAATTCATAAATATGCAATCTTTTATAACTCATATACATAATCAAACCATAAAAATTATTAATCATTGGAAAATTCATGTAAAGATTGAAGCTTTAAAGAAATTTAAACAAGAAAAGAGAGAAAGATAGAAGAGAAGGGGAAGTGGAGGAAACCGGATGGGTGGTGGCAGCAGGTGGCGAGGGCAGCGGCGGCAGCGGGCTGAGCAGCGGCGGTAGCAGCAGTGACAGCAGCAGCGCAGGAGGGATTTTTTTTTTTTTTTTTTTTTTTTTTTTTTTTTTTTTTTTTTGTGTGTGTGAAAAAGGCAGTAGGGGAAGCAATAGATGGGAAGCAGGAAGGTGTTGTTTAGTTCAACTTATTTTTACTTATTTCAGAAAAAATAATTTCAGATCAGATCAGATCAGAAAAAATATGTTCAGATCAGAACATCGTTTTATGTGTGGTTTTTTATCGCTAAATATTCTTAATTTCGTAATGAAAAAAATTGTGAAAATTACATATTAATAAACTACACATTATTACGAATCTAACAAGATCTCACTTGATATATTTTTTCCTTATAGATTATCATACACTTAATGTCAAAGTTTGGTCAAATCAGATTAGTCCAGACCAGATCAAATCAGACCAGACCAGATCAGTAAAAATAAGGTGAATCAAACAAGGCCTAAGGGGAAGGCAATAGGAATAGTCATACAAGGGTTTTGAGAGGAGAAATAAGAAGTTTACTTAATTAAAATGGGAATATGGGCTTAAGGATTTCTTGTTTTTTTTTTTTTTTTTTTGGCTTTAGTAGGATTAAGATGATAGTCATGGGCCCAAAGTGGGTATAAAATAAGTTATTGTTCTTATTTTGTCAAATCATTCCCAAAAAATATTTATACAAGTATAAAATTATTATAAAATATTCGTATACATGAAAAAAATATATATAATTATTTACTAAGAAAAATATGGGGGATTACAATTGAATAAGCTAACATTAATTGAACACCGATTAACAGTCAAAGCCTGTTAATCCTAATTCGCCCCAAATAAACAACTAATGCCACAATTGTTAACCCATGTAGCAATTAGACCAAGTTGAAATTGATACAGAATGATTTTAATAAAAAAATAAATAAATAAATCTACCTTAGGAGCTGCTTAAATGGAGGAGAGAAAGCTCATAAGCCACTTCAATGAAGGAGAGAACTCAGAGTACGCTTCAGCGTATGAGAGAGAGAGAAGGCTTTCAAAAAAGGGAATTAGAGACCTTACAAGTTAAAACTACGAGTTAACGGGGGGTGTTAATGAGCAGAGCTAATTCGTGTATGGATTGAGTTCGGCTCGAAATTTTCGAGACGGATGAACCAACAAAACTTGGCTCGAGAAGCTATGGCTTAATTTTTTATTTTTATTTTTTGTATTTTATTTTAAGGTAATGATATATGTAGTCTGTAGGGCTATTTATAAGCATTAAATATACTTTCTAAAATGGAATTAAGTTGGGAATTCATGACAAAATCACGTGCAAATCGGTGTAATTAATATTTATCCTCATTATTTACCTTTTCAGCTTCTCATACATAGCCCTTAACCAAATAGTAAAATTATATAAAAACAATGGGGAGAAGTTAGAAATAATAGCACAAAATTCTTGTAAAAAAAAAGAAAAGAAATAATAGCACAGAATTTATTTAATACGGTAAAAAAAAAATTAGAAATAACAACACAAACATAGCCGTAACATAAAGTTAAGTTCTAATTTTCGAAATCAAGTTGAGTTTTATGGTAAGTTGAGATTTGATATTAGATTTGAAATGTTAAACTCAACAAAACCTGTGACTTGGCTAAAGTTTGAATGAAAGCCTAACGAGCTTACTTTGTTCAGCCTTGTCTCACTCGATTGTCCCTCCTATATCTAGTGTAGGACTATTTGGGAGTTTTGGGATAAAGAATCACGTGTTATCAGTCTTCGCTTGTTTTGTGAAATTTAATGGCCAACTTATTTTCGAAATTATCTAAACCCATAATCATGAATTTTGGCAGATTGTTTATTGGACCTAGAAATAAACTAGTCACCCTAGAAGTGATCAAATATAAAGTTGCTAAAAGTAAGCTCATTTAGTACTTAGCAATTGGGCCAAGCTTAAAGTGAATGCACAAATCTATTAAATTTGAACCTCAAGTGATCAAAGAGCAATTATTTATTCATATAGACTAGATTCAATCTCATATTATGATGATATTTCCTCCAAATGAATTTGATATGGGATTAGTTTGGGGTTAAATGTGCTTACATTAATAATACTTCTAGATAATACACCTTCTGTTTGATGTAGTTCTTAGTTGCTATTTTTAACACTTTTCAATACACATTTTTAAACATCAATTTTGGTTTTTTTTTTTTTTTTTTGATCTCTAATAGCGTATTTTTAAAAATTTTAAAGTTTATTATTTTGAAATTACACATGGTAGTGAATTTTACGGGACCTTGCACAAACTCGAAGTGTGGTTTTTTATACATCAATATAAATATCAATAAGAAAGGGAGAGAGTAATGCAGAATTGATTTTGTTACTTGTTGATATTTATGTGGCTAGTCAATATCACAAATGAAACTTCTACTGAAGAACATCCTGAAAAAAAACTTAAAGACTGTTCAATTCACATCTTGGATGATATTACAAACAACTTTATGCAAAAAGGAATTTAAAATTCTGCAAAAAGTCATTCTCTGGCTGATGTACAATACTTCACCATTGTAGAAAGCATGTTGAATGACATATCAGCTCGTTCCACTTTGATCCACAATATCACAGCATGCTTGAAGTGGTTCCTGGTGTCACGGAAATTACTCCAATATTGGTAAGGGCTCCAAATGCAAGGCGACCTTTGCTTTGGCTTCTCAAAAATACAAGTATCTCGATAAATAACTTGCAGAGGCATACCATCATATATCATAACGAACTGTTACCATATGCTCCTCCTAGATAGGCTTGTCATATCTTGTGCACACTATAACCAGGATCTTCTACGGTCAAGCTTTCCTTCCAATTCTCGAATTCAGATCCACCAAAGACAACTTGTTTTATGCCAACAAAACTGCCCATTTGGAACACCAAGCACAAGAGTTAATCTAAACAGTTGATATAAATCCTCTAGTATATATGAAGGAGAATAGGGATGCAGGTACATATCAAAATAATTGCTACACTAGAATGTAAAAATCAGACATGACACACATCCTAGAATTGGACATGGTTGCAAGGACACGAGTCACACGACATATACGGAACATGTTCGTTTTTAGAAGACTTTGCGTGAGTTAAAGCATACAGATGCATGCACACATCTTAAGCTGACTTGATAGTTAATTTTTGTTGAAATACTTGTGTGAAACGTACTTGTGAACACATATCGTACTTATTCTCATCTTCATTCTATTTGTACATTTTTTTTTCTACAATTAGGGGTTCAAGATAATTGAAGTGAATGAGTGAGCATGGAGTGTTGTGTAAAAATTATATACCCTCGTCAGAATGTCGATTGTTCGACATGGGTAGGAAGACAAGCTGAAGAGCCAAAGTAAAATAGGCTTTAAGTTGTCAGAAAAGAATAGCATTACTACATATGTACATATCTAGGCTCCTATCCGTTATAAATATCTTATACATTCCACTTCCATCATCAGATTTTCATTTTGCAGTAATAAGATTACCTAAATTAATAAATAAATTCATCTTATCCCTCACATATACATAAACTAGGTCCAAGATATGACTGAGACTTTAACAATAAGATAGATGGGGAACCGGGGAAGGTAAAAAGCCTTACTCAGAGCTTATCTGTGTCAATGCATTCAATAGAACATCCAGAAGCAGCGATTCACTTGTCCCAATATCAACCCTGGAGACATATTAAGCAAAAGTAAGTAATTACACCACAAATACTATAGAACCTTGCAGTCTGTTACAAGTAAAGCAGAGTCAAGCTCAAGCAAAATCACTTTCAGTTTGAATTAAACTTCATACCATATTCGTGCCACATTCTCTTGAATCTCAAGATCCCCTATATTATAAAAGGTGGTCGGATCAACATTCGCTCCTTGGATAGCGTCATAACTTAGTCTTTTGTCTAATGGAGATTGTGATAACTGCATCAAAGACAGAAAGCTTTTGAATTAGAAAGTAATTGTAACCTACTGACAAAGTTAATTTGAAGGGCATAATTTTTCCTCTCTATGTATACTAGTAATTGCATTAAGTTGATAAAAAGAGAGGCCTTTCTGATGAATGAAACAAAACTTTATTCTCAGGATGTTCATGAACCAAAGAATCCATAGAATCATCAGGAGCATGAATAGATATTCATGCAACTAAATAATATACAAAGCTAGTTTGTATATACATCAATGTGTGCACCCAAGAACAATTGAACTAAGAAATTGCACAAGTATCAACTTTTGGCAAGAGTACATATCTCCAACAATACACTAAACATCATGCTCCTGAAGAAAAGCATTACCTGCATATTCAGTGAATTGCAACCACCAAGACGTCCAATGATGTGCCACGACCGAATAACCTATAAGCAAACAAGATTACATGAAACTACATCCATTAAATTAGATTCATTTAGCGTCATATACCCTGACTTTTGAAGAATAGTGACTTACATCGCAAATCAAAGAAACGTCTTTTTGTAGTGGAGAATTGTAAAATTCAAACCATATATATGAATTTGTGAAATCAAATCTGCCAACCACCAAAAAGACTAAAATGAATGAACAAACTTAATTCATGGTTATACAAAACAAGACAACATTGCAAAGACTATTACAGGCATGAAAAGAAGTTCAATTGCTGATTGAGACGTTAGACTGTTAGCTTTACCAAGAAACCAAAAGCGAAATGGGAGTAATACAGCACAAGAAACTAACATGTTACCACTTAACAAATAATCATCCGATCCAGGTTAAATACAAGTTAACTCAAAAGTTATTCAATATTGTCCCTTACCAGTAATCCAGGTTATATAAAAGCCAACAGATTTTGGACTACAACAGACTAAGCAGACTAGGAGTTTGGACTTGCACCTCATATATGATAATTTTGCCATAGTGTGCAATGAATTTGCACAAATTACACATTAGACACTCTTCTTAACTATGAATTTGCATCTAAACAACACTTGAAACACAATCGACAAACGGTCACTATAAAGCAGCTGTGTATATGATTTCAAAGATGATAGCCCAAACTTACTTGTTGAATGTAACTTTCATGGGTGAGCCAGAACCAGTTTTAACCTGCAATATCTT